AACCCTGAAATTCTGTAATGCTGCAAAGCAATAGAATCAATTTAAAGTGTATAAATAAAAAAACCAAAATATTAAAAACGTTACTAATTATCTAAAATAAACAGAGAGAACAAAAACATTTGAAATAGAACCCTTCCTGGCTGCTCTGATTCTTCTTAGATTGTTCATTTAATGACTTGAAAAATGATCCCTCTTATTTCATGACCTAGTACATATCTATACATAAATGTGTGTATATACATATATATGTATATATAGATATCTATACATCTATACATATATAAAGTTATATATACCTTTTCAGTCTTCCATATACATATTCTGAATAATCTCATCAGCCACCCCCAAAACTCATGGCTGGTTCTTCCGGAAGGAAGCATAAAATGAGGCTCCCATAACCATACCACCAGATTCCATGTCAGGCTGTTTTCACTTGGGGCACTCCAGAGTGGGGTGGATGAGAGCCCTCCCCGCCCCAAGGGACCCAGCCCCAACAGCCAACCTCCACTACCCAATTGCTGCCACGCTCCAGGCCGCTTTCTGGACCACGAAGTGGCTGAACAACACATCATAAGACACTTCCGACCCATTTTCCATAATTACCACACCATATGTGATGGGGTTCAGACATTAGGCAACAAATCATAGAGATAAATATATAAATATATGGCTCTCAGAGAGCCCGGCAAGCTACTGAGAGTATCCCACTCACATAGGCAGAGCCTGGCAAGCTCCCTGTGGCATAATTGATATGCCAAAAACAGTAACGAGAACAGGTCTCATTCTCCTGACCCTGAAAGAGCTTCCAATCATTGGGAAAAGACGAGCAAGAAGAGGCTGCTAAAATCTCAGGGCTAGGAGGAATTGAGATGTTATTGGGGCCTGCTCAAGCAAATATATAGCACTGTAGCACTGTCCTCCCATTGTTCATCGATTTGCTTGAGTAGGCACCAGTAACTTCTCCATCATGAGACTTGTTGTTACTGTGTTTGGCATATCGAATACATCACGGGTAGCTTGCTAGGCTTTGCTGTGTGGGCGAGATACTCTTGGTAGCTTGCCGGGCTCTCGGAGAGGGGCAGAGGAATCAGACTTGGGTAGGTCAAGTGGGCCGCATGCAAGGCAAATGCCCTACCTGTTGTGCTATCGCTCCAGCCCATGTATATACTCCTGGATGCTACAAGTACTATGTTGTGTACAGTGGAAGTGAATGGGAGAGATAGCATAATCTAACATTGATTCTTGACATCACCATCTCTTCTTTGTCATGTGGTTCTGTTTTACTCTCCACTCTCCACATCCTTTGGGTTATGAGTCACAACTCTCCAGTCCTGGGCAGAGATAAGGGATTTCCTATCTCTATCACATTCCCTGACATGTGGGATTTTTTTTGGAAAGACCTTTAGTCTCTCTCCAGATGATGGTTTTCTTCCCATTCTTTTCCCTGTTATGAGTTTGTACCTTTCCAATTCATGGTGAAAATAGGCCACCCCAAGATTTTTAAAACAGGTCTCCCAGGACGTGTCATATCCCATATTAGGACACTTCAGTCTCCTCAGAATTTATAACACTCCCTTACCTGACCAGGAAAGAAAAGGAAATTGGTATTGTCCAGAGTTATAATTTTCATGAGAAATAACCTCTACCAGAAAAACCTGCCTATGTGCAGGACAAACATCAAATTACAGAGTCTGGTCTTCATCCTGAGTTACCTTCTTCTTGTCATGTGAACTCCCCTTCTTTTTCTTTGAACCCCCAGGCCTCTTATTTGCTCAGCATATATTCCTTCAGTTTGCCCCCATTGGCATTTCCATTCATATAGATTCTCCATACATCTAACTAAATGTGTTTTTCCCCCTACTAATCTGATCTTGGACTCTTGGGTGGACCAAAAAAACCAAGGGAGATGGAAGACATTTAATCTCTGCCCCTAAAATGTTCAGACTCTACAGTCTTCACTAATAGAATGTGCTGAACCTTGTAGTTTTTCTCAAAATATATCTCTTTTCAGCCTTCCATGTCTGAATACAGCCCTTTCTAGTTCTTCTCATGGCTTTTCTGCCTTGTTTTAATCAATTCAGAATGTTTGGGTAAGTTTAGTTCTGGGTGTTGTTTCAAAGCTCCATGGGTGATTATATCAAGCTGCTGGGGCTGCAAACAGCTGCTCTGATTATGAGTTCAGAGGATGAAGTTTCCGTTCATTCAGGCAACTCAGGGTTGTCTCTGACCTATTTTCAGTTTCCGATGTTGGGAGAAATGTTTGAAAGACATACTTAATTGTAAAGTACCTTTAATCAAAGTTTAGAGAGTCACATCAAGCTACTAAAGCGCAGTTATCAAGTTCTGTTTTTTTCCCCACATATAAATTGACTTTAATGCATGCTATTACTGTGCTTCTAGGAGATGATGGAACAGAAAAGTGTCCTGTTTTGTGCTTTCATATGAATGCAGGTTTCTGTGGCTGCTCTTGCAATTAATGTGAATTGTGTGACTTTTAAACTACATAAGAAAAATCATAAATTCTCTATGTTATTGTATATATATATACATGAATTTAGATATCCCAGCTTCATTAATTCTGCTGCTAAATTACCAGTATGTGGTCCCCTAAAATTCTATTGAGTTTATATTATGAAAATATGATTTTTAAATGTGCAATAATACATTACTTCCACTTGGAGCACAATTATGTTCCCTTGGCTGGAAAGTTCTGGACTCCCTGCCTGTTTTTGTTTTTAAATGAAAACTGTCACTATCTAAAAGGTAAGTTTTCTATCCACTGTACAACAATTATGAAATTTCACAGGTGGCATCTATTTAAATTATTAAAGGTGAAGAACAGAGATAGCATGGTTAAGAATTAGGTTATAGGGCAGGAGAAATAGTACACCGGGTAAGGCCTTCCTTGTGGCAGATGAGGTTTGATCCCTACCATCCCATATGGTCTCCTGAGCATCACCAGGAGTGATTTCTGAGTAGAGATCCAGAAGTATCTCCTGAGCATTTCCAGATGTGCCCTAGATCAAAAATAAAAAAGAAGAATTAGGTTATTGGGTATGGTGTTGGAATTATGTGCTTGAGAACCCATTATTAAAAGAGTTGTATACCACAGAATTTCAGTTCTTAAAATTCAAATCAAAGTTAAGACCCAGGAATCTGCATTTAAATAAATTATGCTGATTATTCAAATGGAGAAGGTATTTGGATCTCCCTTTGAGAATCCTACCTTAAGGCATTGAGGAGAAAGAGGCAATTCATTAATAAGCCAGAACCTTCTGATAAATACTTTAAGAGGAAATAGAGCAGAAAAAAATCATTGTGTAATGGCCTCTAAAACACATGATTCTCAGTAGAGTTAAATAGTTGGAAATTTTTCACATATTTACATTATACATGTAAATGAACTAAATTCATAGATGTCACTATCAGGTTAGTTTCTTTTTTCTTTTCTTTCTTTTTTTTTTTTAAGAAAAGCTTATCTACTTAGCTAAATTACTTTTGACTACCCAAATACTAAACATTAAAAATGACAATATTTTCATTTGCTTTGTGAAATAAGTTATACAGAATAATATCTTCTGCATACAGTATTGAATTGTCTCCCCGAAATAGAAAAGATACCTAACCTTAAAATGCCCTTTTAAAATAAACATCAGCTTTCTTACTTGGCTTTTCCCAAGAATAGTCCTTATTATCTGAATTCCTATGCATTTGTCCATTGTGTCAAGCCTGCAAAAGGCAGGCTCAAAGACAAACGCCAGTGGGTAAACATGTTTAAACTGGAAGACTCGCTTTGCTGTCAACTCTTTCTCATAGAGGATAGCTCACTCTAAATAACTCTTCATTAAAAATAAATATTAAAATCAATTGAGTACTACATCAAGCTATTTTATTCATTTTTAAAAGAACTCTCCATTTTTCACTGTTATTTTTTAATAACATAAATTTTTAAATATTTTTTAAAACATGGACAGGCAGAAATCTGCGAATTTCAAATGGAGGGAAGCAAAGGTGATAGAATTCTTTGTTAGATACTTGAAGTATTCTGTCTCATCTTCCTTTAGTTTCTATCCACCAGACAAACAGTTAAGATTGCTTTATAGATATTAAATTCGACAGGGAAGTTACTCACTTGGAGTGAAAGATGTAGCATAACTGGACCCAAAATAGCTATGGCCAGGGGCCAAGTGAAATTTCACCTTAATATGAATGCCTTCTTCATTTCCACAATCCCAAACAAGGGTTGTTCCTAATCTATTAACCACACACCCTGTACCTGCATTAATCAGAAGAGAAGCCCTTGACTTAACTTTTCTTCAACTGCTTCTTGTATTCCACACTTCTTACATAACTCTGACTAATATTTAAGAACCAGCATAAGGACTGATACTACAGCAATAGTTTCTACCAAAGTTTCAATGCTAAAGACTTTTGATTCCCCAAATTATTAAGTTTCTTAAATATACATACATATACAGACTAGGCCCCTTCCTGTTAGACTCAGCCCAACAGTGCTTAATATCCCATACGATGCCTGGACTCAAACTAAAAGTCTCACACACGTTCTAAACTGCTTGACTTTCTCCCTGGCCCTGAGTTTTTCTTTCTGCACAGAAACTTACTTGATGTTTAGGCTGGTTTAGGAAAGAGGACAGAAGAGAGGAGGGAAGGAAACAGAGAAGAGATGCCCAACAGATGTCTTCTATGAGTTAGAACAGTTCTACCTTTGTACCTTACATCCTCCTTGAAACTAAAAGCTACTTCACTCAGAACCTGGAAATTGATTCAAGTCTTCTTTTTCAATTTTTTATATTGTAATTAGTTTTCTTTTGAAAGATGCTTTTTTACTTATACCTTATTGTGATCTAAATAAAGCTAAATAGGATAACGGAAGTACACTAAACCTTAAGTCAAGTGGGTATCTGTATATAAATCATTCTTAACCAGTAAAAGTGCATATATTGTCTGTCACGACTGAATCAAAATAAATGCCCCACTTTGCTTGCTTTGTCAACACATAAATTAAAATTGAGGCATACAGAGAAGATTAGCATGGCCTCTGGGCAATGATGCCATGCAAATTTATGAAGCAATCCATTCAAAAAAAACCCTGATTATTACATGTTTATCATTCAAACACAGAAAACAGCAACAAGGGCTTCCTTGCATGGGTAAGGCCCTGAGTTTAGTGTCCAGCATTGCCCAAACAAAGTATGAACCTATGTCTGCTCATCCTGTTTGTTGGTTTTTTTAAAAAAAAATTATCTTTTACCATCACAAATTAACATTTTCTATTTCTTTTAAATCTTTTATGATTGTTCATCATGTATTAGTTCTTAGGCTACAATATATCTGTCATCTCAGAGTCTGCACTCTGGTCATGAAGACTGATTTCAGACAAAATGTAGTCTAAAATTGTAATCATGTTTTTGAACTTAAGTTGCGTTATTTTTTAAACCTAATAAGTTCAATGACCATTTTCATAGTTTTCCTGACCACTAATGGTCAACTTTAGATATATTTAAGATAAGTTCAGTAACACAAAATAGTGTTTTAATGTTTTTTTTCTTTTAATCACAGGAGAAAATTTCTTCCCTTCATAAAATTTTAACTTACAATACAGCAGGCTAATGAAGCCTTTGGGTTCTCTTTGACCATAATATGGAGTTCTCTGGGCCAGGAGCAGGAAAAGATTGTCCAGTGGCAGACAGCAGAAAGAAACCCAGCAAGCAAAGCAAAGGAAAACAGGAATTAATGAGTGGATTACGTCTATAAGAGCATGTCATGTTGTAGCAAATAAAAAATTCAATTGTATCCTTGCTCTGTGTCTTCAAGAATCTCTATTACTAGCACTTCATTAACAAGATCAAATCTACCCACACTCAACCAGAGATTTTTGTCCCCAGATAATAGAGGACCACCAATTCAGATTTATGTTTTTCTTTTTCTTGCTCATCTATTTTTGTTACATTTAATTCTATTGTATGAACATCCCAGTCATCTTTCAGGTCTTAGTTCTGACTTTTCTTTAGAAAAGATGTTTCTGTGGAGTATGGTGCTGCCAGCAGGTCAAACTGTACCTGTGAGGCAAGTGCATCAGCAGCCTGATGGCACCGTCAGACTTTAGGATACCCCAAAATTGCTGCTGTGCCTTTGGCCAGACCCCAAAAACTTGGGGCAAAGTTTACCAAGAAAGTAAACGGCCAAAAGTTAGGTATGTGGGAGACACACCCACAAATCACCTCCGGCTCAGCTATACAATTGGAGATATGGCCTCTCTGGCTCCTGATGGAGCAGATTAACAGCCATGATTCGAGAGACTCAGAAACAAATCTCGAAACCCAGCGGCTTTTGGCTCATCTGGACAGCATACAAGGTGGCCGCCGCCTCAGAGCTTATGGGAAAGCCAGGTATGAGCTGGCAGTGACAGGGCAACTGCAGTCTCAGGGGAAGGAGGACGGTACCAGCTTGTCCTTCATGCCCTACCGAGGTCACGAGTTGCCCCCCATGAACAGCTCTCCGGCACAGCCATAACACCAGATGCACAGAAACCAATCTCATAATGATCTGGCTCTTTGCAGAAATCCAAAATCATTATATGACATTATATGATTCTCATACCAGCTATAGAAAACAAAGTATTTCACAATCCCTTTTCAGCAATTCTGATTGTTGGGGGAGAAATTGTAAACAATAATGGTGCATCTTTTGTTGAAATAATGAATGTAATCAATGTAGAAAAGAGTTAAGTAGAAATCATCTGCCTCACAGGCATTGGGAGGGATGGGAGGGGGGTATATTGGGATTCTTGGTGGTGAAAAATGAGTACTGATGAAGGGAAAGGTGTTTGATCATTGTATGACTGAGACTTAAACCTGAAAGCTTAGTAAATTTTCCCACAGTGATTTAATAAATAAATATAAGAAGAAAAAATAAATAAATAAAATTATGAAAAAAAGAAAAGTAAGGTGGAGTTCATGCCCAATTCAATCAGATAATCTGTGGCTGAATAAATAGCAGTACTCCTACATAAAAAAAAAAAAAGATGTTTGTATTCTAACAAACATAGTCCCCAGCCCTGAAACTTCCATGCTCTATCTTCTATAAGCAATTCCATCAATCTGGTACCCTAAAGAGACAGATTAGACTCTTAGCTCTTGGCATCCTTCTTTGTAGTGCTTTCTTTTTTTTTTATTTGCAGTTATTTTAATTATTTGGTCAGTTTATTTTTTCCTAACTAGGTTATAAATCTTGTGAAGGAAGTGATCTTGGTTTTGGTTTGTTTTGACTTATGAACCACACATAACTCAGGACTTACTCTTGACTCTCTGCTCATGGATTCACTCCTGAAGGTGCTCAGGAGATCATACAAGGTATCAGGGGTTGAACTCAGGTTTATGATGTGCAAGGCAAGAGCCCCACCTGCAATATTCTCCTTCTGACCCCAAAGTAGTCATGCTTATCTTGCTCACTGTATCTATTGTATCTAGCAAATAACATTTTTGCTCCTGTACAAATACGGAATTACATGATTGTGTACATTAGTCAAAGACAGAAGGCAAAATTTTTAGACAGAAGTTATAAACCCTGTCAAAAAATGCAGAAAACATTTATTGGTATACATAGTTTCTCACTTTGAAATCCATGCAGTGGAGAAGGAACCCTCACTTCTTGTTCCTATAACAATAGAGAATTAAATACTTGTGGTTAAGAGGCTCAAGGTTACTTTCTTTTAAGAGAATATTGATCAAAGGTTCAACTATAACCTCAAATGTTTAGTTAAAGAAAACAGAAAATGAAGAATTACTTTAGTTGTGAACAAGATGTCAACTGAAATGTTTTTAAAATTCATCTTTTCTGTGAGGAAAACAAATTTTCCTATAATCCCTTGTAAATCCTCTTTTTAATTCTTCCTTTCATAAATGTGTGCACAAACATATGTACATGGGTGCACACACATTAGTTCTCCCCTTAAACATTGGTTTCAGGCATATAGTTTTTCTTCCCAAGGGGTTTGCATTACAAATATTAGTTTTCCATGTTAGCTATGGAAGTCTTCTGGTTAAAGAAGAGGTCTATTCTGGAAAGTGACTGAAAAAAACTTGAGTACTCTGCTTAAAAAATCCCAAACACAAAAGCGAAAGGTTTGAAATGCTATACATCCAACTGTATGCATTTTAGGGCAGTTCAACTGAAATACTCCTGGAGAAAGAAAGCAGAGAATTTTTGGAATGGTTTTCCTGTTAACATTTGTTTTAATCTGTCAAAATTCCGCTAGTTATCTGTTTCTTTATAGTGCATATTTCTATATATCTTTTGAAGCCTCCTCAGAGTTGGAGATCAGTCCAATTCCAGTAATTTGATATTATCTATAAGGATAGAGAATGTCCTGTCGATTTGTTTTCTCTTCAATGTTAACAAATACGAAACTATATCAAAGAACTTTCTCAAAGGTCAATGTTTATTTGCCCACCATCCCCCATCTCCCTAGGGTGAAGTGTCAGTGAGAAGTGGGGATTGTAGAAAAATAAGAAGGGGGAGTGTGAAAAGGGCAGGCATAGATCTTAGACTGAAGATTGTAAATGTAGGGTGAAAGAGGTAGAATTTAAGTAGCTTCCTCTACATAATCTATCATGATCTCTGTGTGGTAGGTAACATTACAATGTCCTGTAATTTGAAACCAGAGGAAAGAAAGAGAAACATAGTCCATGGAGAAATTGGAGATTTCCCATACAATAAATTCTTGCCAAGAGTCAGAATCTTACAGGGTTTTACAATTTATTTTCAAACAGGATAGGGTCTTTTGTTTTGTTTTTTGTTTGTATTTTATTCTTTCAAGCAGAAAAATCATGGTACATTGGCCTTTACTTGGAGTGACTTTTGATAAAAATAAATATCTCACAATTTGTTGTGAGACGTTACTGGTGCCCACTCGAGCAAATTGATGAACAGTGGGAGGACAGTGACAGTGTTTAATAATAATTGGACAAAACACATCCATAAGACTTTGGAATAATTTCATGTAGAACTAAAGGAGTCATTGAGAAAAAATTCTAATAAATGTTGGGCCTGGAAGCAATGTCAGAGCAGTGGAGAACATAAGAATGAAAATCTAGCTAAGCCTGAAATTGGTTGTAGTACAAACAGCAGATAATAAAAAGTCAAAAACAGCAGGTCATATAGCTTTACTTTAGTCTCAGTAAATGAGGTCAGCCAGACATATAATAATAACCAAGGGAAAATCTGGAAAGAGAACATAGGGTTATTTTCTTCTACCCACATGCAAGGGAAATAAATGCAGTCTCAGAAAGAAGTGAGGAATATTTACTTCTGTATCTTCACATATCACTCCCAAGCAGGGATGCTGATACTTTACTCAGTCAAATATCTACATTTAGAGACTCTTAGCATTGAAAAGACTGTGATATTTGACCCATTGGTAATTCACAATAGAATCTAAAGAATGGAACAAAACTTGCAAGAATGCTGACATTACAATAACATACTTCTAGAAATTAAAATAGCTTCTTTTGATTTTTCTTATTGACATGAGGTTGGTGGATTGCCTTTCCTGGTGCTTGGACCCTTACTTAGCCTGCCTTTTGATTTATCTGTTACTTGACTCTTCCTAGATCCAAACTGGAACTACAAGAGGGTAGACAGAGTGGGGAAAGCACAGGGAGAGAGCTTGCATTGAAAAATCCTTTCAGAATCATCTTCTCTTCCAAAATGACCATCTGCCTTAGGCCTTGGCACTCCTGAGCTGGACGGAGGGTACATGGCTCTCTTCTTTTGCACCCCTGCATCTGAAGGGGGTGGGTGAAGATGAAGCTTTGAGACGGTCATGATGGTCACTTGGCAGTTGAACTTCCAGGCTGCATAGTCATGCCATTGAAGGGAAAATATCTGTACTTGAAATAATCACAGGCTTTCTCCTCTAATTCTAGGCTGCCCTGCCAATGTGTCAATAATACAAAGGACTCCCGTATTTTTCTTCCATCACAGTTAAAGTGCGCCTCCCCCTGCCTCTTGGCATCCACCTCCCCTCCCTGTCTGAACAGGAACCCAGCTGGGCTCTCATCTAAAGAGGGGTGGATGACTGAT